AAAAAAAAAAAAATCACAAAACCAAGCAAAGCAATAAAATATTTACAAAAAAAGGCAAGAATCGTGTGGCAACGAATCCTCAGTCAACTGGCGTATTAACGTTGTTTAGCAATTATACACTACAATTCATGAAACTAAATAGTTCAAAAACTCGCAATCATGCAAAAATATGAGATCCTAAACAACAAAGGGGACGATAATAACAATCCCTCCTACCCCGCCCCTCCTCTCTTTTTCCAAGCCAATCCTAAATTTTGGTAAGAACGGTGAAATTGATTCCCCCTCAGTCAATCGAAGAAAGATGTGATCTTTCCAGCTAATGTATCCGGTGAAATTTATAACTATCCTTGCTCTCACATTCTATAATACAACACAGTACAAATAGAACATCGTGAGGCCGAAAATTGGTAAATCTAATAAATGACTGAAGAGAACAAGACAGCAAAATGTACCCATAAAGCGCTAAAATGCATCCGACTGACACATAAATTCGGTTATGTCCGGTAACATCCTCTCTGCTACCGCTAGAGTAACCAAAAATGTTGAATTGTTGGTTAAATCAAGTGCTTTTCGAGCTGACCAAAGACTCCATTTCGAGCTCATGGCATTTTGTTTGTACGAAGAATCCGGCTCACTAAATTAATTTTTGTAGTTTTTTTTCTCACAAAAAATTAAATTCATAACAATCACTAGGAGCCCGGCTTGGACAAGTAAGGAAATTGCTCAGGTACCTCTTCCCTTGCTTTCCGAATTTCACTTTTTCGGCTAATTGCAATGGTATCCTTCACTTATCTGATGGTCTGCGGAGACACCATGTGAATACAACGAGATACTTTACGTGCTCTTCAGCGCACAGCTCTTTTATCACAACCAGCGTTCGCTCTGACCATGTTTCGCCTTTTCCCTCCCCCCATGCCTCCCCCTCTCCCCTTCGCAATCCTCATAAACCACTTCAGAACGGTGCTCCCGATCAAGATAGCATTGTCTTTCTAATTTTGCTACATTCAATTTTCCAATTTTGTGTTATTCAAACAACTGATAAAAACAGTAATGTAGGAAAGAAAGGAAATAAATGCCCACTGGAAAAATGCAGCTCAGGATTGAAGGGTCTGGATGTCCACGTTGACCCTCGAAAAACCTTTATCTGCACCAGCAGGTTATTTGATTTTCCAAGTCTATATACTCATACTGGCAGGGATTAAAGTGCAAGGCGGTTAGGTTTAAATTGAAAAGTACGTTATCCCATCAAAGTCTTCGAATCTTTATGCGGTTTTGCGTATACGCAAATGCTAAACGCATATTGGCAAGAGGCTGAGGAAAGACAAAATATTTCTGCTGGGAACCAACCTAACATCCTGCACATAAGCAATGAATGCTCGAGCGGAATTTTCGAGTACCAACCAAAATTGCTTTATAAATCCCATACGTGTCGTGGTTTCAAACGGTAGCAGATCCATTTTTGCAAGAAAATCTTTGACACGCGGATCCGCATGACAGTTGCGTAATTCACTGAAATCATTCAAAATTGGGTTTGTTGGGAACTGAACCAGTTACCATTCCATTTATTTTACAAGCAACCTCGCAAAAAACAAAATTATCGAGAATTCTACTAATGGGAGACAGATGTTAATTTCACGGTTCTGTTTCTGTTGCCTGTAGAAAAACTGAGTATGCAGATTTTTGACTTGACAAAATTTGCAAAAGCTGCAGCAAAATTCAAGAGGTACAAGAGCAGTTGACCCTAAACAATGCAGGACTTCTTGGGAGAAGTTAGACTACTTTCCACGGTCCGTACGGGCCGGTACTTTAGAAATTACGACTCGGCCCATCAATGGCCGTAAAAAACTTTTCACCTACTTCGGCCGTCCATGTATCATTTCAGGAGATAATACGAATTTCAGGCTCGAGAGCACTCTGACTACAAGCCAATACAGCACTGATGATCAAAGCAATTGGGAAAGTTGTCAGTTGCATAACTGAAGAAGCAGCCAATGAACTATAGCCTAATTCAAGCACAGTGATTTTCACACAAATAAGCATGCATCGGGGAACAGGACCAGAAATTTCACTTACATTTTCGGTGTTCCTGAATCCCTGGGGCTGACCCGAATTCCCTGCAGTATCAGTGCAATATCGTGCTTCTGCTTGTGCAATTTCAGGAAGCGATGCTTTGAGTACGAAGATGTTGTGCAGACCAGACGACGATCGATGTCAATTAGTGCCAGAGGCCAATGCGATTCCGCCCCGGCGTACATCACATTCGCAAGCTCGATCTTAAATTAGCAAGTTTTCTGAGGAAATGCTC